TCCTCCTCCTCCTCCTCCTCCTCCTCCTCCTCCTCCTCTCCTCTTTTCCAGCCATTTTGTCGCCAAACAAGACCTGGCCCCCCTCACGAGCCAGACCCGTCCCAAGGCGGGCTGGGTGGGTCTGCCGGGCGGACCAGCGCTTGTCCTCCCAGGGTTGGCGAGCCCGAGCGAAGCCGAGACCTTCTGCGTAAGCAAGGATCAGGGGAACGTAAGACCTGGGTACAGGGGACTCGGAAATACCCGACGAGGTCGTCAAAAAATGACGAGGCCGAGCCTGCATTTTGACGAGGCCTCCCGCTGCAGACATCCCACGAAACTCCTCCTCGTCAAAATCCGAGGCGCGGTCGTCAAAAAAAAAATGGCGAACCCGAGTCCTGGCGGAGGGGTGGCCGTCCTGTCAGCAAGACTACGCTGCCGCACCAGGCCGACATCGACATCTCGATCATACTGGGCTCCCACGCAGAGGGCATGTGGATCTAGAAGCATTGGGGAACTATTCCATCGACGGCGACGACTCTGGCCGCCATCGGCCACGAGAGATCCAGGAGACGGGAAGAGAAGGGAGGGTGACGGGGGAGGCAGGAGGGAGCGGAAGGCGGAGACGGAACGAGGGGAAGGAGACGACATGGACGTCTCCGAGCGGCCGTGGGACCTGCTGAATTACGGGATCACATCGGCCCCAGGACCTGCTGCAGGGTCGTGGACGTTGGAGTGGAACAAGCAGGGACGGGGCCCTCAGAAGATGGAAGATAATGGGGGAGCCCTGGGAGGGGGGGCAGCCGCGCGCCCGGATGCGCCCCCCCCGCGCCTGGGAGTCGATGTCCTCCTGCCGCGGGAGCGACTGTGGGGGCTTCTTCTCGGACAGCGCGCTCATGATGTGGGCGCCCTCCCAGCCACGCGCGACGAAGGCGGCAGCGGCGGCGACGACGACGGGGACGCCGACAAGGACGTCAACGACGACGACGACGACGTCGACGACAACGACGACGACGGCGGCAACGACGAAGACAGCGACGACGAAGGCGGCGATGACGACTAGCGGCGACGACGACTGGCGGCGGCGGCTGCGGCGACGACGCGGACGACTGCGACGGCGACGGCGGCGGTGCATTCCCCCCTCCCCTCTCCCTCCCCACCCACCTCTTTCTCCTCCATTCTTCTGTCTTTTCCTGATAGATAACTCCTCCCTGTCGCACCTCGAAGCCGGTCGAAAGGGTGGGCTGGGCGTTTCGCCTTAGACCTCCCCACCATTCATGATTCTGCAACTTACAACTTGGAAACAGCTTCACACATGGATGGCGGGTCGCTTCCAAAATGTGGCTTTCGTCTTTGCGCCGCGCACATTCGTACTTTAATGATTGCAAGCGTTCGGCGGATTGAGGCCGGGCCGTATTCAAAATGTGGCTCTCGCCTCAGCGCCGCGCACATTATTGTTCAACAGTTGCTAAGAGCTTCACTGGTTGAGGGCTGTTCCTTTTCAAAACGTGGCTCCCGCATTAGCGCCGGTCACACTCTATCTAAACAATTCCAGATGTTTCCAATATTGAGGACAGGTCGTTTTCAAAAAGTGGCTCTCGCCCGAGCGTCACGCATTCTTTCTAATGAATAAAAGAAGGTCATGGCTGAGGGCGGGCCGTTTTCAAAATGTGGCTCTCGCCTCAGCGCCGCGCACATCAGTTTTCAACATTTGCAAGAACTTCACGGTTTGAGGGCGGCTCCTTTTCAAAATGTGGCTCTCGCCTTAGCGCCGCACACCGTCGGCAAAAAGAAGTGCAACCGTTTCACTGATTCTCATTGTTGAAGTACCAGGGACGGTGGTCTGGAACGGGTCAGGATTATCAAGGCGCAACAGTTACGTTGATTCGCGGTGTTGAAGTCCCAGGAATAGTGCTCTGGCACGATTCAGGATCGCCAAGACGTAACAGTCAGGTTAACTCGCGGCGCTGAAGTCCACATAATGGTCCTTAGGCACGCTGCAGGATTTTCACACGGTTGTCCCCCAAAGGGACAATTCCCTGTGGATATGAACCCTTGTAGGGGCCTATGGAGAGGTAGCTTCGAAGAAGGGTGGATTCCAACATCGTTGATGAACCTTGGGCTTACACTGGTCCCTCTCCTCCTCCTCTTCCTCTTCCTCCTCCTCCTTCTCCTCCTCTTCCTATGGGCTCAACACCCGCCCGGCAGAAGAGGCTTGACCTCTCCTTCGTGGACAACCGTTCCGTTCCGTTCCGTTCCTTCTCAGCCTCCTCCCTCTGTCACAGGCGTTCCGCGGATGGTAACAGAAAAGATGTCGTGACCCCAGCGCTGGTTTCTAACACAGCGCGGATCGTTCGACCTCGAACGATCGGCGGCTCCTTTTGGTCGTCACGCCGTTGCAGATCCGCAGTATCCGGCCTATGGCCAGCGGCCAGCGTTCAACCTTGAATGATGGGCCGATGTTCCACCACCACGGCCATAGGTAGAAGAGGGAGGAGGACAAGGAAGAGGAAAAGGAGGATGAGGAAGCGGGAGGAGGATGAGGAGGAAGGAGGCTGTGATCGAGGATCCCTTCAGCCGTCAGGAATCAGGAATCAAGAGGAGGAGGAGGAGGAGGCTAGGTTAGGACAGCCCCGAGGGGAAGAGTCTCGCAAGACTAAAACAATGGGGGGAAGTGGCACCCCTCGGAGAGGGATTTGTTACCCTGGAGGAAAGAGCTCCCCACACTCTGACCAGGGCCCGCGACGGGGTGCCACGACCCAGACTACTCCTCAGCCTGGAGGGCCTCCTTGGCACGCACTCGCTCTGCGAGGGCGGCCATCCGTCTCTCGTACTCAGGGGCGGCGGGGGCACTCGAATGGGCCGAGGGAACAGACGTACAGGCAAGAGTCTTAGAACGCGGCTTGGGGACCACAGACATTGCAGTGACCGCAGCAGCTCTATCAATCAATTGACGGACACGACTACTGGGGCCCAGGCCTCGCGAGTACTTACTTAATACCTCGCGTCCCTTCCTAGAGGGTCGTTGGCACTCCTTGTCAAGATTACGGGGGCACCCCTGGGCCCAGCAGCCGCATCGAACGCACAGAAACTGTAGCCGATTCATCTTGGCTTGTGATGGCTCTGGGGCTCTGGGGTGGATCTCGTGAGAGGCCACGCCAACTATCAGGTGCCCCAGGGAACGGCGGACGACCTGACGAACGAACTCGGGGGCCCCAGAGCAACCCAGAGCCTTTTGGGGGGTACCCTCATGGGCGACCACCAGACAATGCTTGCACTGCATACCAAGCGGTCCACTCTCCCACTCATGCCACCCAGGAGCTGACTTTACAGAACGGTGACGGGCAAAGGGCCTGACGCGCTTCGCTCGGGACTGGAAGGCTGGTAGCACACTAACTGCAAGCTTGACAAAATACCTGGCGGTCTCTACTTCAGACTCTAGGCGATTGGTTGCCTCGGGTCCGATGGGAGCGTGCATCTTGAGAGCCTCCTTGGCGTGGAGGTCAGCAGCGCGGTTACCTTTCGCAGGCGCCCGCTCCACAAGCGGCAAGTTATCTATCACGCCCTCGCTTCGATGCGCCTTAACATGCTGGATGGACCTGATGTGGCCGTGCCCACTGAGGGAGCGGGCGAAGGCCGAAACGCCAGCGAACACCTTGCTCGCACGAAGCTGCTCGTGCTCAGGAAAGAGGGCCTGACTTATTGCTGCTTTACAACCGGCATGCATGTAGGAACTGCGATCAGCGATCTGGCAAGCGACAGCAATCGAGAAAGTTTCGGCCATCGCGGGGGACTGCGGCAAGCCTCCAGGCACAGTGCCACGCACAACCGAAAGGGTAGCCTCGGCCTGGGGGTCAAACAGTACTACCGCATACGCAGCACGCTGAAAACAAGACAAAATCGGCATGGTGCTGCTTCCGTCCACCGCGATGTGTAGGTTATCGCTATGACCGACGAATTGCACAGACTTCTCGGGCTCCAGATCGGGAAAAACCTCCCCGAAACCGTCCAGGACCATGGCCTCGGGGGCCCCTTTGACAGGAGGGATATCCCCTGGGAGCACCGAGACGACACCTTTCAAATGGAGTAAGCTTCCAGGGTCCTCCCGAGCTTCGTCCAGGAAGGTCGAAGGCACTTCCGCCTCCTCGCGGGCCTGGGCAACAGCTGGGAGCTGGCAGACAGCAGCTTGAACTAAATATTTCTGGTGATTGTTATACTTAGTCTTGGACCTGAGGCAAGACCTAACCACGTCCAGGTTGGCCCTAACTCCTTCAGCAAACCCCCACTTCTCCCCAAGCGACTTCTCATGGGCAGCCTGGAACGCGGTGCTGAACATTTTACCTAGCATCGCAGGAGAGCGTTGCGTGAGCTGGATGGTGATGCCATCCTGGTTGACCCAAGCAGTGGCTGAAGCAGGCTTCCACCTTACACGAGCAAGGCAAAGCGGGATCCTGGATATCGGTCCGCGGGTATGAGCCCAGGAAAGATCCGACTGAGTCTGGGAAAAAACACGGTCCCACATACGTACTAATTCAGTTAGGTCTACGAGTGCATCAGACGAGAATGCCACAGCATGCCACATCATCTTGGACCACTGGAGCGCGGGTGCCATGGCCTCACGCACCGCGGGCTCGCCATGCAAGGCCAGCTTGGCGCGCAAGCTCGCGCCCCTCGTCGCAGGCGCCAGGTAGGACATGGCCTGGCGACGGATGGCGAGCAGCTCCTGGTCGTCGACGCCGTTGACCTCGACCCCATAGTGAGCTGCCATCTTGATTCCAGTGGTGTAGACTCTTCCAAGCCTCTCATCGGCTTTCCTCGTGGACTTGAGCTTGGCCATCTTGGCCAGGCGCTGGGAGGACTTCCGCAAACGCATCTTCCTCTTGCCAGCGGTGCGGGCTTGCCCCCGTCGCCGTCCACAGGCGAAGTCCGTGCCGAGGTAGGCGACCGCTGGTTTGGACTTATCTTTGGCGAGGCCGAGCTTTGTGGTCACCTCCATGCCGAGGGCACTATCACTGGCCACGACGGCGACCTTATCATTGAGAGTGGCCTGGAGTCGTCGCGAAACTGTTTGGAACTGCACACCCGCTTGGATCGCAACGCCTGCGACGATGTCTCGGTCGCGGCCGCTCACGTGGACCCCAGTGTCGTCAATGTAACACATGAAATCGATCGACGGGTTGCGGCGCACAAACTGGTCGTACCCTGTGATCGTGAAAGCTCGGACCGCAACATCAGCAAATGCACAGCCTGCTGGTAGCCCGAACGTGGCGAACAAAACTCTGCCGCTGTGGTGCAGGCCCAAGCGGATGATGCGCGGTGACTGCCACGTGTTGAAAATTAACTTGGGAATCGGCATGGGCATGCCGCAGGCAAGGAGGCGACCACGTAACACCTCCAGCGGGATGCCCTCATAGAACTTGCTGTAGCCCATCAGGCTCAGAAGGCTATAATTGTTCTGGCTGACCTCAGCCTCACTGCGCGCAGCCTGCAACCAAGACAGATCGAGTGCACTACGGCCTGCCAGGGCGACCCAGTACGGGCGGCACAGCTGCTGGTGAAGGCCATCGAGGTCACGGCGACGAAGCCTCTGCCAGACACGGTACATGCCCGAGTACAATATTATCAGTCGGTGGCCCTGGTCAGGCTTAGCCAGCATGGGCATGACAATGAAGCATAACTGGCGAGGCAATAGACCAATCCGTTCGCACGCCCCGAACAGCGCTGCCATGGCGTCGAGCGCAGCGCGAGGAAGTAGCCAAAAGTGACGAGGATGCACTCGATCAATGCTGGCTGTTGTGGTGCGCGGGAAGCTGTTGGCCACATCGCGGATGATGTCCGCGCTGGCCCTGTCCATTGCCGACCTGTCAGGCGTCCAGGCTTGGCTCGGAGCCTGGCTAGCATGCCACAGCTTCTCATGCTTGCGAACCTCAGCCTCGACGATATCGTGAGGATGTGCCGTAAGCCCTCCAGCAATGCGAACTACCGTAGGGCGGGGGGCATTGGGCACTCGGGTAGCGCGGTGAAGTCCTCGCGCACCATTGGGCGATGCCGCGTCGCACCAGTCCTGCCACCGTTGGCGGTCATCTTTTACTTCATCCAGCTCGGCCTCCCGCGCATCAGCTGCGATGTCTCGACGGTACTGCTCAAGAATTCCAGCAGCTCGGCGGCTGTCACGGTGGAGCCGAGGGGCGACGCAGGTCTCGAAATCATCGTCCTGAGAGGTGGTTCCAGCCTGGTCCCCGAGCTGCGCATTGGTGCCAAAGAAATCGTCCTGGCCGATGTCAGGCTCGTCAAACTGATCAGGAAACAGGCCATCAACTTGCAGGCCTTCCTGGCCTGAAGGGCCAACCACGACAGCGGCCGCAGGGGCCACTTCAGAGCGTAAATGTGCCGTGGGCGGTGCTGGTAGCGGGCCTTGGGCCCCAGCTGCACGAAGTAAGGCATTACCTACAGCGACTCGCGCCTCAAGAACACTGGCATCCAGACGTGCGCATAGACCCTGCCAGAAATATTCAGCGGTCGAAAACACATCCACCTCGGCTTCCAGACAAGGTACCGTAGTGTGCTTGAGCCTCATGAGCTTGCACAGGTTGTCTAGGGACTGCGATGGCCATGTCCAGCCGCGAGAGATCGCCTTGGCTTCAGCAACTGTCTCGGGGCGGTGATTGCAATCAACCCATCTGGCTTTCGGTGGCGCTCCCCACGAGGCGCTGCTGGGCGCGCTCTGGCCAGTGACTGCACTAACCTCCATCTCGGCGGCATGGGCGAAAGTCGCCCACGCTCGCGACAACATGCACCATGCTTCACGGACAGGCTTCTGGCGACTAGCATCGACGGCCGCCTCAGCCATCACAGAGGGGTACTGCCAGTCAGAGCCTTCTCGTGCGGGACCAATGAAACGCTCGGTCCCATACTTCTTTGCCACCGTGTAGACCATGTACTGCTGCCTTAGGCCTTCCGTGGAAAGGCCCAGTGAGATAGGACGGTGAGGTCGCTTCGGCCATGAGGTGTCCACGTGGACGGACTCGAGCAACCTCTCGGTAACAGCGTTGGCAGCAAAGAAATCAATCGCACGGCTAGACTTGGGTGTAATGCATGTGGGCAGGGACGGGGCCACAAGTACCATCTTGGCTTCTCTCGGGAAGCCTGACTCCTCGATGTCCCTCGGCGTAGCATTCCAGTCGCCAGCCAGGACGACGGGGTCGGCAATCTCGGAAACCCGCGTGCCAATCTGAGCCAGGATGCGCGCATTCCTGCCCTTGGTACCCTGGTTGACGACCAGGTAGAAGCAGACGATGTGCAACGGCGGCCAACCAGGTAGGTGCACAACTGCGCGTAGTGCGCGGCGATGGTGAAGGACAGCGCGGGCGCAACCTGGTCCCCGAAGTCCAACGTGATCCCAAGCAAGAATAGCAACACCCTGCGTGGGCGTTGTTCCCTTGGACTTGGCGCCAGGGCTAGTGAGACACTTCCACCCACGACGACCTGCCCAGGCAACAAAATCATCATTATCATCATCATGGAATCCAACTTCCTGCGCGACGAAGGTTGTCGCTGACGAAGCCTGTATATTTTCCTTCAGCGTGCGGCTGCCACGGTTGGCGTTGAATGATTCCACAAAGAACTGGCTTCGAGGGTCAGCATTCGGCGGTGGCCGAACTTGGCCGTGATGGACAGGCAAGCTGCTGACTAATACAGGCAGATCAAAGGCGCTGCCGTTTGTCTCGATGCATTTCCAGTAGCTTGTCATGGAACTTCTGCATGAGGTCTTCGTTGCTGTCGGCAGGGTTGCCCCCTTTGACGAGCTCGAAAAGTGCCTTTGACTCCTCGAAAGTGGGGTCGAGGTCACGCTTGACGCCGCCACCAGAGGAGCCGCCATCACCAGGAGTAGGAGGCTCATCAGGACTCTCAGCGGGCTGCTGTGGCATAGGGGCGTCCACAGGCTCGGTTGCCTTCCGCACCTGGCCCTCGAGGTCCGCGAACAACTTGGCAGTGGTCTCCGCTCCGATGGACTCGAGGGCGGTACGGATCTCCTCGGGGAGCCCATCCTTGTCGAACTTGAAATCAGGGAAGAGGGACCGCTCTGGGGCGACGGCCTTGGCGGTCTCAGCGAACGACTTCTTGTAGCCATCGGTCTCCGCCTCCTTGGAGGTGATTGCGGCCCTCTTGTTCTCCAGTGCAGCCTGGAGATCATGAACTTGTTTGGACATCTTCTCTGCCTCGCGCTGGAGCTTGACCAGCTGCGATTGCGCATTCTTGAGCTTATCCTGGGCCCTGCGATGGGCAGCCTCAGGAGACTGGACACTCTCGAGCTGCACACGGAGGGTCTCGATCTCAAGCTGGTGCGCCTGCTTGACATGAGACGGCAGCGACGGCTCCTTGAGGTACTTCTCATAGAGGGTGATCGACGAGAGAATCTCTGCACGGGTAGCTCCTGCATCCTTCGGCCTCTCAGCTCCTGTACCCTGGTCGGGCGTCGGGTCCTTGAGGCTTGTGTTGGCCAACTTGCGCTCGAGCGCGGCCACCTGCTTGCGGAACTCCTCGTTCTGGTCCCGTGCCCATGGCGCTGGTGTGGCACGACGGCCACCAAGCACGGGCTTCCTCCCTTGCACTTCCTTCTCAGCTTTGGCGTGTGCGGTCTTGGCTGCGGCGACAATGCGAGCTGGGGCAGCGGTGCCGCAACGGCAGCGAACTCGGCACGCCCAGTTCTTGTCTGCGCCACAACTGCATCCCCAGTACGGCGTCCTGGGGCCGCGCAGCACATCGGAGACGGGAGGCGGTGGGACCATGGGGCTCGCGAACCCTCCAGCTGGAGGACCCCTGAAAAATTGGTTTTCTGGCTCGGGAAACAGAGCTATCCCACTTTGGCACGAGGGCGCGGAAGCCCCCAAGTGCAAGCATCTTGAGCCAAAATGGCTACGGAGGAGGAGGAGGAGGAGGAAAAGGAGGACATGCAGGAGGAGGAGGAGGAGGACCTCCCCATCCTCCCTTCTACCCCGTCCTACTTATGGGAGCGGTGGTGGAGCCTTGGCCAGTCATGGAACGCCCGCGGCGGGGTCGCCGCCGCGTCGACACGACGCGAACACACCGAACTCGCGTCTGCCTGTGCCCCTCCCTCCCGGCGGCCCCTCCAGCTGCATGTCGTAGGGCACCAGGGTCTTGGTCTTGATGCTGGCGGTGACGCCGCGCATCTGCGCACGGAGAGGCAACACGTGGAGAGGAAAATATTTGTCACGCAAAACTCAACTCCAGCGATGACCTCACCCTCGGTTACTGCGATTCGTTACAGCAAGGCGTCGCTGCAGCGTGCCACAGAGGGTTGCGACTCGGACTAGGTGGTCAGGCGGCCACCGCACCAACCCCCCCAACCAGTGCCGGTCGGCCTTTGGGGGGCTGGTCAAACTAGGGCCAGGTGACCCGGGGAGCACCGCCCCAGGGGTCACCGGCGGCACACGTGTATTGACGTGTAGGAAGGTGCAAAAGGGTGAAGTCAGACAGATCAAGGACAAGAAGGGAGGAGGAACGATCAAGCTCTCTTCTTCCTCTTCCTCCTCGCCCCCTAGATTGCTGGACGTCGTTCCGACACTTTTGGGTCTCTCTGGAGGCCCCAGAAGACCTCCAGGGCCCTCCTCCTCCTTCTCCCTCTCCAATCGCCTCTCGTCGTCGTCTCCCTCCCCCTTCTCATCTCCCCGGGTTCTTCCACCGTCGCGGCGAATTTCGTTTTCTGCTGATGTTAGTCTTCCACGTGAGTCTACTCATGAGCTCTCCTTTGATGCTTCTACCGCCACTACTACTCAAACGTCGTTCTCATCCACCACCTCCTCTGGAGACTGGCACCATCCTGAACGAATCCAAAGACGAGGAAAGAGCAGGGGAGGGATAGAGGGGTAGGGAAGAGACGGAGAGGAGAGGAGAGGAGAGAGGAGGAGCGACAGATAATTAGAGCGCAGACCCACCTGGAGCACAGCTGAGCGACGCGAGCTGGCAGCGAAGCTGAGGGGCGAACCAGTCACAGATCACAAATACCAGAGTAAAGAGACACGCAGCGAGACACAAGACGTGATACCTACGGGACCGTCGCGCCCCGCTGTACCCTCAAGCACCGCTACGGAGCAACACCTGTTTGAATTGGAAGTGGAACGACCGCTGACAACGAAATGCTCCCTTGGATGACGAGGAGGCGACTGGGATGGAGGAGGGAAGAGTGTGGACGGAGAAAGGCAAATGAGAGGAGGGGAAACGCCCCCAGGAACGTCCGAGAACCCACATCCGCTCCTCCCCCCTTCCTCCCCATCCACAATTGCACAATGTGAGTACTACCCTTATGATGTTCCAACCTACTTTAGCCTTGATCACCAGAAATAATTTCGAGCGCACCCCTAAACTCGAGGGTTTCACGTGTCGGGCCCTGGGAGACACTGTTTCGACACTCTTTCGACACTCTTTGTCTCCCCCCACTACTGTGTACAGAGAACGTCCTCAGAGCAGCCGCCACACCTCCACGTAGTGTTTTTTTCCGCATGCTTTGGGCGAGCGAGGTGTTCCGTTCATTTCTGAATTAGATCGGCTGTGCCCCTTCCAAAATGATGCTCTCGCTGAACTGTCGTCGTTCGTTTCGAATCGGCGCTATGATCCCGTCGTTCAGAATGGCGCTTCCCCCAGCGCGGGATTTCTGTGGATTTCACACATCTTGCAGGTCCCAGAGGTCTCGCAGGTCCCTCAGGCCCCACAGATGTCGCAAATCGTTTCACAGGTCCCGAAGGTCCTACTAAGCTTGACCGGTTCCACAAGCCCAGAGGTCCCAGAAGTGTCGAAGGTCTCGCACGCCCAACAAGTCCCACAGGTCGCGCAGGTCTCACAGGTTTCAGAAGTGTCGGATGTCTCGCAAGACCCACCAAGACCCCCAAGGTCGCACGGGTCCCGCAAGTCCCGCCGGTTCCATAGGTCCCACAGGTCTCGCAAGTCCCACGGGTCCCACAGTTCCCACGGTCCCCACTGGTCGCACAGGTCCCATGGGTAGGTGTCGCAGGTCTCATAGGCCCCACAGGCCAGAGAGGCCCCCAAGTCCCACATGTCCACAAGTTGTTTATTTCCCGACTGCACATAACACGAGGGGGTCTTCGTGGAATTCCAGGTCGGCTAGAACACACGTCCGCGGATGCAGAAAACATCAGCGAAGTGTCAAAGGGTGGGGGAGAGGGATGGGATGTCAAACATGGCGCGAGCACACCTAGCTTGTCCTCCCTCCCTCTCCTCCCTAATCCTCCTCCTCCTCCTCGTCCACCTCCTCCTCCTCCTGCTCCTCCTCATCGTCCTCCTCCTCCTCCTCCTCCTCCTCCCTCATGCTTTTTCCTCGTCCTCCTCCTGAGCCCTGCTGCTCCTCCTCCTCATCCTCCTCCTCAGCCCTGTCCTGCTCACTCCCTCGTGATGGAACTCCCTCTTTTTGGTCAAATCGTGCGCAGTCAAGCACAGCTGGAGCTCCATGCAAGCGACAGGAGACTCTAGAAGGATGGCAATAGTCGTTTTCATCGGAAGCTCAACCAGCGATCCAGGATGAAGCATTTCTGCTTTGCAGCGATACGTGAGGAGTAGGCCCTGATATCGTTCCGTCTCCCTCGCTCGCCCCCCCTTTTCTGCCTTTGAAGCTTCATGCGCTGGCGTGCAACCAATACGGGTGGGGCACAACTTGTGAGCGTATCCATCAGCCGCGGCTGCCGAAAGAAAGCCCAAACCTGCAGACTGGGCGTCTGAGAGGCTCCTTCTGTCGGGGGGCGATCAGAAGGCTGCATCACTGAGGGCGGAATTGCTATTCGGAGGCCTCGTGCAGCGCGGCCTCGAAATTCCAATGCCACGAAGCATGCAGACAGGCGCCGCGCGCACTGCCACGCGTACCCCAGCGAGGCCAGACAGGCGTGGTGGGACGGACTGGATGCCCGCTTCTCGGAGCTGCCGAGGCGGCAATCTCGGCAGCTGTGCCGCCGGATGCGGATGTGGGGATCAAAACATACAAACATAAACAACGTTCGATGGTCCGCGCGAATTTCATGGATCTGCACTGAAGCCCCCTGGAGGCGCCAGCCACTGGCGCGCCCCTTGCGCCAGAGAGGGGGGTCCAGCACCGACCCAACCAATCCGCACGGGCCTCCGAAAGTCCCTGCTTGCGTGATGTGTTGATACTCGAACGAAGCCTTTAACCAGCCCCGACCTTACCCCTACCATCAAGATTGACAAACCATAGCGCAGTGGACATATCTGGGATGCGGCTTTGAAAGCGGCGGGGAACCTTGAGTTCGGCATCGAAATGAAGCGATGCCCCAACCGTACGGGTAGGGAGATTCAGTGGCGGCCACTGCTTGAAGATGAGGAGGGAGGGCCATTGCCACGCCTCACCACTGCCCCCCCCCCAGAAGGGAAAACTGAGAAAAAACCCGCCCTCCCTCCCCCCGGCCAGTCGGGCCTGCCCCATGAACTCATCGGATGGCGCCCCGAGGGCGACGCCCAGCTTCTCCGGGGTGTCCAAAGACCTCCGTCGGCAGGTGAGGGGGACCGAAAGCTGCCTGTCGCAACGAGAAAGGAACGATGACGCGGAGGAGAACCATATGGGGGGAAGGAAATAGAAGACCGCAGAGGGGCGCTGAGAGACAGGCGAGAAGAACAGCAGCGCAGCGTGGAAGGAGAGGGGACAAAGGATGGCGAAGACGGGGCGGGGGCCGACGGACACGAGGGGTCGGACGACAATGATGAAAATGGTGATGAGGATGATGATGATGATTTTGATGAGGATGTTGATGGTGATGGTGTTGATGATGATGACGATGACGATGGTCATGCGAGTGCTGATGATGATAATGATACTGATGATGATGATGGTGGTGGTGGTGGTGGTGGTGGCGAGAATGATACACTCCCACTCTCGGCGCAAGCGAGCGATCTCCAGGCGGTCGGCGCGACAGGCGCGCGCGAGTGCACCCGAGTTTGCTCGGGGCGGCCGTGAGCGCGGGCCGCACGGCACCGCTCAGACGCGGGAGTTCCTTGTCTGCTCGCCCAAAGCGAAGAAGCCACACTAATGCCCAAAGCCCTTGCGCACTGGCGAGGATTTGGCGGGGGGCCGCGAGTTGGGTTGACCACGCAGACGGGCCAACGAGAAGAAAAGAAACGACAAGGCGGTCACTGGCAATGGCGTAGAACGCAGTACGCGTTCGCGCGAGTGCGGGGATCGCAGGAAGAGCTGGCGATGCGGCGGCAGCCTACAGATAGCGCTCAGCGCTAGAGGCTTGGCGCTGCCGTCCACGCCAGAAGACGCGAGGAACATCTTCTGCGGCCATGTAGAAGTCGGTCGCCACAGAACCGACGCAGGCAGGCGGGCGCAAATTTCAGACCCGAGGCCGCTTTGGCATGCGGGGCGCCCAGAGCCAGGAGCGAATGGTTGCACCGAGTGCGAAAGCAGCTCTGCGCACGGACCGGTGGGGCACAACGGCTGAAACACCTGTTCCAACAGCCTCACCGTAAACCTGTCCGAGCAGCAAGCGTGCTGAGTCAGGGCCCTCATGGAGAAAGGAGTCGCCGCTGAATTTCAGACGACCGCTAGGCAGCGATGTCACTGCGACGAGCCACCAGGAGCTCCCCAGGGCGGAGGAACACGATGAAACCCATGACCAGCAGCGCTGCCATCAGTAGCCAGTCAGCGCATGGATGCGTTTCCATGAGCTGCGCCACACCTTGCTCAACCACAAGATTCCGGTCAAATTGCGCCTTCGATTGTTCGACGCTGTCGTCAGCCCAACAGTGCTATGCAGCCTATCAACAACTCCGCTTGCAGTATCGCAGTTGGAGAGACTAGATGGAACACAACGGAAGATGATGAGACGTATTGTGGGCTGGGTGAGACACGACGAGGAGGAATGGAATGTCACAGGACGTCGCATGAAGGAACGATTGGATTCTGCGTGGGACAGCACTCGCGTGGCGGTCTGGAGCCAGACGCGCGGCAAGCAACGGCGAAGACTGATTGACAAGGTCACAAATCGACCGGCAAACATCGTCTCTCGCGTGTAGCATTGGGCACTCCGGCCAAGTGTGCCTGGGCAAGTAGCTTACAGGAAGCGTGGCCGTCCGGCGTGCACATGGACGGACGGCGTCTGAGTGATGGCATTCACGCGCGCGTGTTTGCGAGTGTGCTGTGGTGTCGTGTGGTGTTGTGCATTGTTTGGTGTTGTGCTGTTGGCCGTGTTGTGCTGTGTTGTGGTGTGGTGCGTCTTGTCGTGTGGGTGTGTGCGTGTGGCTGTGTGCGCCAGGAAACTCGTGCGCGCTATGCTCCTCCCGTGTCCCGTGCAGGACCGGCCCTGCGGCCGTGCGGGCTCTGCTCTGCCCGAGACGCGCGATCCCGCGCATCGAGCGCCATCGTCGGGTCGGGCGAAAGGGGGGGATAGCAAAGGGGGGGGTTGAGAATCAGCTCACGTAGCTGATTTTCCCGGCGCCTCCCGGCGCCGGGAGGCGGCTATGTATCGAGGAATGGGCCCCTCGGTGAGCCCGAAACCAGCTGCATGCAGCAAATTTCGTAACCCCCCCTTTCCCAATCCCCCCCTTTCGCCCGACCCGAGGAAGGCTTGGAAGGTGGAGGTCGAGGGAAAAAAGAAAAAGTACCGATGCCGCTACTTCCCGGACCGCCCCCCGAGATGCGTTCTGGCCCGAGCTTCGGGGCGAATCCAGCGGTGGCGGCGAGGGACTCCCAGGAAGTCCTCAGAGAGGGGAATCGGGCGAAGGCTGCAGTATCGGCACCCTTTCCCAATCCCCCCCTTTCGTCCGGCCCGCCATCGGCCGCTGGCGCAGCCGATGACCGGGGCGAATCGCCGATGCGATCGCTGCCGCGCCTCCCGCAGGCGCAGCAGCTGGGATGCCGGCCGGGCGGGGCCCCTCGCCCCCGACGCGCCGCCTCCTCCTCCTCCTCCTCCTCCTCCTCCTCCTCCTCCTCCTCCTCCTCCTCCTCCTCCTCCTCCTCCTCCTCCTCCTCCTCCTCCTCCTCCTCCTCCTCCTCCTCATCCCCTCCTCCTCCTCCTCCTCCTCCTCCTCCTCCTCCTCCTCCTCCTCCTCCTTCCTCCTCCCCTCCTCCCCTCCTCCCCCCCTCCTCCTCCTCCTCCTCCCCTCCTCCTCCTCCTCCTCCCTCCTCCCCCTCCTCCCCCTCCTCCCCCTCCTCCTCCTCCTCCTCCTCCTCCTCCTCCTCCTCCTCCTCCTCCTCCTCCTCCTCCTCCTCTCGTCCTCCTCGTCTTCCTCGTCCTTCCCCTCCTCCCTCTCCTCCCCCTCCTCCCCTCCTCCTCCTCCTCCTCCTTCTCCTCCTCCTCCTTCTCCTCGCCAGAAGGTGTTTGGAGTGGCGGGGGCGCAAGGGGCGCAAGGGGGCGCAGACCTGTGGGCTGAGTGCCCACAGGTCTGCCCATGTCCAAGGGCGGGGCCGACGCCAGCGTTGGCGCGCGGCTATGGGCCCGCTGCGGAACTGCGGGGGAGCGGCCGAGCATCGCCTGCCGCTCGTCCCGAGGAACCCCAGCGCGCGCCGCCTCGTCGGTCTCTTCGCCGTCGTCGAGGGCGCCCCCCCCCCGAATCGCAGCGATGACATCGCGCAGGGCGCGGACCCCCGAGGGGCGATTGCCAGCGGGAACGGCCGCGAGACGCCCCGAAAGGCACAACTTCCTTCTGATGGGCCTATTTTCCACCACCACCAGCATACATTGGAGGGGGAGGGGGTCCTCCTCCTCCTCCTCCTCCTCCTCCTCCTCCTCCTCCTCCTCCTCCTCCTCCTCCTCCTCCCCCTCCTCTTCGTCCTCCTTCCCCTCCTATTCGTCCTCCTCCTTGTTTCTCCTCATCCTCCTCCTCCTTCCCCCCTCCAACTCATGGTGGTGGTGGTGGAAAACGGGCCCATCATCCTCTGCCTTCCCGCCGGCCAGCGAGCACGGAGACTCCAGCTCCATATCCGAGACCTCCAGGTCGGCTACCCAAACGGAAGCTGTGGTGCTCTGCGGGAGCCTCTGCGGAACCACGGCGCCACGCCGGGCAGCCGCCTCGAAGCGGAGAGCCTCTGAAGAACGAGAGGCGGAAGGTAGCGTTAAGTCGGGGCTGTCCCCCTGCAGGGGGGTTTTCGACGAAAAATGAGCAATACACGAAAAATAATCCAAAAATAATCCAAAAATAGTCTGGGGACTATTTTAAAGTATGTTTGACCTTTTTGGTGTATTTTGGGGGTATTTGTGTTTTTTCGTCGAAAATCCCCCTGTGGGGGGACACGCCCGACATAAAGGTAGCGCCAGAAGGATACCACCTCACCGAGTGGCCAGCAGGATCGCAGCGAAACTCACCTCGTCTTCGTCCAAACGCCAGCGCTCGTTCTCGTTGGCACTCGGCGCGATGAATGAACGGGTGGAGGACGAGCCAGATCGGTCCCTCGGGAATGCGGCCCAGCTCCCCGGAGGAAGAGGAAGCGGCCGCAGTCCTAGAGGTCCCACCCGGTCGCTCGCGGAGTCGCGCGGGGCAGGAATGCGCCCCCCCCCCCGATGGGGGAGCGGCCGCACACAGCGGCCAAGTAGTCGAGGGCGTCCTCGAGAGAGGCGAAGCCCCCTAGACCTAGGCGCGGCGCCGCCGCGCCCAAACCACGAGCCCCCGCGCCACGCCAGCGGGTCCCCCGGGGACGGGGGAGGCCAGCGCAGCAGTGGCGCTTCCCCGTGGAAGGCGCCCTCGGAAGCAACGGGAACACCTCGAGGTGGCGGCCGACCGCTCGGCTCCGAGGGGTGCCCACGGGGCCCGTGACGACCCCGCGCGGTCCGACCCTATAGGGTTAAGTCGGGCCTGTCCTCCTACAGGGGGATTTTTGGTGAACAAAATTACGCTACCGAAGAACCCCACATACTTAATTTAAATATGATGGGTTTGCTGCTGTTTCTAATATATGCGCAATCCTGTGTTCTGAGCCCTCGTCGTGAATGTTTCCCTATGTGTCATCCAACGCCATATTGCTTGCCACGCTTTGCGAGCCCACAACGGATAGGGAGACCACCCCCAGCGCACAACCTGTCGTGTCGAGGAAGTGCCACGCCTGCCACGCTGTGCGAGCCCGCAACGGATAAGGATACCACCCCCAGCGCACTCCCTGTGGTGTCGAGGAAGTGCCACGCCTGCCACGCTTTGCGACCCCGCAACGGATAGGGAGACCACCCCCAGCGCCCCCCCCTGTGGTGTCGAGGAAGTGCCACGCCTGCCACGCTTTGCGAGCCCGCAACGGATAAAGATACCACCCCCAGCGCACCCCCTGTGGTGTAAATGAAGTTCAACGCCTGGCACGCTTTGCGAGCCCGTCAAGGATAGGGAGACCAACCCCAGCGCATCCCCTGTGGTGTCGGGGAAGTGCCACGCCTGCCACGCTTTGCGAGCTCGCAGCGGATAAGGAGACCATCCCCAGCGCACCCCCTGTGGTGTCGAGGAGTTGCCACGCCTGCCACGCTTTGCGAGCCCGTCACGGATAGGGAGACCATCCCCAGCGCAA